CATAAATCATGGTGAATGCCTACCGACTGGGGTGCCAGTGATATTTGTCGCATAAATTACATTATTTGTGAGCGAGACATGCGTATCGTTCAAAAAGGCATTTGAGATTCTTTGTTACTGCAATTGTTTGCATCTCGCGGTACCAATTTTATTAATCTGGCTGGCTTCAGCTCACTCGTCAGCTGGGTGAGAGTGATGCAGTTATGAGCAGTTTGGAGAAGGAACGAGACTTTTACTTCAACAAGTTGCGACAAATTGAGGTATGTTATATCTTTCCGTTCAAATAGTTTCTGTTTTCTTTTTTCCTTCTTTTAAACTGTTACATTGGGCCTATCTAGGTTGTCTGCCAAGATAATGAGTCGATCGGTACCGTCGAAGTATCGCGAATTCTTGAGATATTGTATGAAACAGAGGAAGGTTTTGCTGCACCTGATGAAGACGAAGAACAGTAGAGGTAATCTATATTCATGTATTTGGCGTCATCTTTGCTTCGTGAAAATGTTTTAGTAACTTAGCGACTGCGTGTATGCCAAATGTCCACAGCGTGTTCATGAATGTTCACTATAAATATTGCTGCTGTCGCTGTTGATTGATGTCGACTATAATAGTTTATTCGAGTTAAACGCCCTGATCTAACTTTTCCCTGAAACTCCCTGTTGTATGATATAAGTCTCCCAAATTTCAATTCTTTTTTTTTGTTTTGCGTCAATTTCCAGAGAAAAATATTTGGCCTTGGTGTTCACGGTGCACTCTGTTCATTGCGAATTTTGTTCATACAATAATAATGATATTCTGTCTATCTTGTTGGCTTTGTAGATTATTTGTAGAGTTTATGCTGGTAACTCAAATTTTTTGTATGAAGTAGCGTGTCTACAGTAATACCTAGTTTAACATTACGAAATGCTTTTTGCAAAAGTAGCAGTGGAATATCTGATAGCTTTCCTATGATAGTGGCAATGATGCACTAATGCTTTCTGTTCTTGTCCATTGATTTTGTGCTTGTGAACTTTTTTTGTGAAGAATGTTATTCGAGAATAAAATATATTGTATGAATTCACTTTCTAAGGTTATGTCATGTGAATCGTCAAG